GGTCTGATTCCGAGGTGACTCCGGGGACCTGAAACGGGGTGGGGAAGTGGGGGAGAGATGCGCGCTTCAGGAAGAGACCCCCACCCCGATTCTTGGGGACAATTCTCCACCACCCCCTTCTGCGCCCGCTCACCTTGGGGAGTGAAGGCGGCCACCTTGGGGCCAGGGGTCTGCGTCCGGCCACTGTCCAAGGCTGCAGTTTATGCCGACTTAGCTTCAACCTCTGCATTATCGCTGTTGCTGACTTACCAGGTTCGAATTGCATCTCGCTTTTCCCTGTCCGACACCAAGGATGAACCCGCGTCGGGGGTCTCTGCTGCACAGGAAGTCCCTGCTAACGCGCCCCACCCTCTAGTTCTCTTGTCTGGCGGCCCCCGGGGCTGGGCAGCGGTAAGCTGTAGAGTGAGCCAATTTGGGAGCCTGCCACTCCTTTGGCTGCTTTTGCTTATTTCATCCTCCGGTCCCACTCAGGCTTCCTGGTCATCTGCCCATTACCATGTCCTCCAGAGTAAAATTTCAAAACGCAGCCCTCGGACCTGCTGCTTGACCCTCTGGACAGTCCAGGGTGCCTCAGTCAGCAAGCCCAAAACAGAACTCATGTTCCCTAACTTTGTTCACCCCACAAGTCTTTCTCTTGGTTCCCTGTCTGCTGTCAAGAGAACCAGCAGCGAGATTTTTCAACTACTTAGAAAACTGGGTGTAGATATTCAGGGAGTAGCCATTTCTTCCTTAAGCAAATTGTAATCCAGACCCCAAAGCCACACCCCAGGTCTACAGTGTTTAACAAGCAAACTTGCTGGTAGATATTGCCATGCTCCTCCCCAAAATTGAAGGGCTTCTTGGTTTCGAAATACCAGCGACTACCCAGCTCACTCCTTGGGTACGGGTTTCTCTGTCCATGCAAAGAACTGCAGTGCTAAATCAAGGGGCCTTTCCCAAGCCTTGTTGCCCACACAGCCATCTCCCCGTCTTCATTCTCATCTCCCTGTCTTCCATTTGACTTCTACTCCTCACTCTCCTCATTTTCTCACCTATCTCCTTTCCAAATGTAGATCTTAACAGGCCCCTCCCACAGGCAGAAAATTATTGAGAGATGCTTCCCCCTACTTCTGCAAGCAGTCTTCCCCTTTGGTGATAGATAGGGGGATAGTGATCCACACTCATCCACACTGGCAGATTCTCTTTCACTACAATCCCTGCACCCACAACCAACTTCACCAAGCCACCTGCAGCTTGTTAAACACACACCCCATTTAGCAAATATTTACGGAACATGTGCTGTGTGCTGGACCCCAGGGTAACAGGGTGAAACCAGTGGGTTCCCCTGTGACTGGACTCTAGGACCCTAAGGCTTTCTCTGCTTTGGGTAGAACCCAAGGCCTTGTGGCATGCTAGGCAACTGCTGTATGTTGAGCTACATCCCAACAATGGATTCCAGGCTTTTGAACAGCTCTTACAAGTCATTCTGTTTCCCAGATCCCTTTACATATCCAAACAGATCCCTACTCATCCTTTAACATCTGATTGAACTATTTCCCATGATGCTTTTTCTCGTCCCCTTTGCTCCCTTTGGTAGGCTCTTACAGTCCACTATCATAATACAGCCTTGGGGCTTTCTGTTCCACTCCATTTGTTTATTCAGTGTCAGCTCTGCCTCTACCTTCTTGCAGTAAAAACTTGCATGTCTAATAGGCAGCTCAAGATTGCCACCCGCACAAATCTGTTCCTTTCCAGTTTTCTCATCTCCCAAAACAGCTCTGCCACCTTCCAATTACCCAAACCCTAAATTCAAGCATCGTTCTTGAGTTCTCCTTTTCCCTAATCTGGTGGTGAGGCAGGTGGTGGATCCCATCCATTCGCATGTCCTTGTCAGCCCTGCTTCTCTTCTCTGCTGCCACTACCTTAATTCATGCCATCATTGATTTCTTGTCTAGATTATCACAACAGATGTCTAACCACCCATCCCACTTGCAGCAGCCAGAGGGATCTTATAAAATCTTAATTTGGATTAGGTCATTCTCATGCTTTTAAACCCTTCAGTGGTTTCCTATTGCACTTAGTATTAAACCCATTTCTGCAAGCTGTGTGGCACGCCTCTTTCACATTCCTCTCCTCCCTCTCACTCTGTTCCCTTCTGTTCTGAAAATACAGCAATCCCTTCCTGCTGCATGGTCTTTGAGTTGACTCCTTTCTAAAGTACCAGCGCAAACGTCACCTTCTCCAAAATGCCTTCCTGGAACACCCTTTCTGAAATTGCTGGCTCACCATGTCTCTCTGAGATTCATCAGTTTGTTAATTTTCTTTAGAGGTCTTATAACTGTCTACAATTATTTATATGAGCATTGCTTGTCTCCCTCTTTTAGAATGCAAACTGGGGAGATGGCCCAATGGGTAAGAGCTCTAGCTATGCAAACATGAAGACTTGAGTTTGAATCTCCATCACTAAAAAAGCTGGATGTAACTGCAAATACCTGAAACTCCAGCACTGGGAGGAGAGACAGGCAGATCCTGGGAGCTCCATGGCATAGCTTCTGGTTCAGCGATTGGCTCTCTCTCAAAGAAATAAGTTTGAGGGGGATTGAGGAAGGCACTCAACATCTTTCTCTGGCATCTTGTATGCAAGTTCATGGGCATGTACACCTGTGTACACAAATGCATGCAACACACACACACACACACACACACACACACACACACACACACACACACAAAAGAAAGAATGTAAATCCCAGAAGACCAGGGAACCTGTCTTTATTGTTCTCTGCTGTAACTCTGGCATGAGACACCAGTCTGGTCATTATCGATTATTTGTGAATAATTGCATTTATTCATCCTTGATGACACTCATGACTCTGAAGCAGTTGGGGATTTATGTTTCTACTTCTCTTCTTCATGGGTTCACATATTGCTCTGTCTCTGGAATCTACTTGAGGTCTGGCGTGAAGGAGGCTGTTCATGAAAGCTTGTAGAATAGAGAAAAGTCAACTGAGCAGTAAAAAGTGATGGGCTTTTTTTTTTTTTAAACTAGTAAATTGGACCAATAACATAAAGTTCAAATACAAATCAGAAAGGAGACATTATTACTCCTGGCTCATCCAAGGCACAGAGACAGGCAGCTCTGTGGTAACTAGGGAAAAGTGAGCTAGTCAGGGTCAAAATCAAACTTGGATGTGTCAGGTGAGTTTTCCTAATTCCCTAATCTTTATCTGCCTTCCTATCTCCCACCAGGAAGGACATTCCCCAAGAAGGGTCAGATATGTGTGGTGCACTACACAGGTATGTCTCATTCCCTCAGCCCTGGTCCAAGCCTGCCTCTCCCAAGGCAGGGTTATCCTATAAGCTTCTCTCCAGGGGTTTTGCCCCTAGATCATCCTCAAAGCCCAAGGCAGTTTCCTATGACCAATTTTACTTTTCCCATCAAGATGGTCTATGGTGCCAGCCTCCGGTAAATTCAAACACCTCCAGTTTTATTGTATTCTGGCCTTCCTGCTCCTGTCTGATGTTTCAAACTTATTCTGAAAGATCTGAGCACCCTTAAAAATCCCCCTTTTTGTCCTGTGTTTCTTCTTTTGTCCACCCCTCCCCGTTCCACTGCAGTGAGAGGGATAGGGGTGGTGGAAATGCTGTCTCCAGGTGCTGGGAGAATCCAGAGGAAGGTGCCATATCTCTGCTGTCTCTTTTTGGATGCTGTGTGTTTGAAGGCCCATGGACCAAGGGGCATTCTGTATTTATTTATTTTATTTAATGTGTATGGGTGTTTTGACTGCATTAATGTGTGTGTGTGTGTGTGTGTGTTGTGTGTGTGTGTGTGTGTGTGTGTGTGTTTGCCTGGTAACCCTGAAGGGAAGAAGGTGTTAGAGCCCATGGAACTGGAGTTATGGATGTTTGTGATCCACCATGTGAGTGCTGGGAACTGGACTTGGATGCTTTCGAAAAGCAACAAGTGTTCCCCCCAACCCCCACCTAGTTCTAGTTGAGTTCTTTAGGACTGCTGGCAGGAGGATTACTGGCAGGTGTTTGCTCTAAGAGGTGTGAGGACTCTGCCTTGTGACTCCATTCCTAATGTGGCAAACTCTATGGGTGACAGCCATTTAGCATACAGCAAGGCCAGCTTAATTCCTGGGACATATTCAGATGGGGCCATTTTTAGCAGTTCTCTAGGCCAGTGTGAAGCACCAGACTGGCTCTAGCAGATGATGTGGCTGTTGTATCTCCAGTCACTGATGTCAGCACACCCAGACTGCTTTATCTCCTGGTGATGTGGCTTAATTACCCTGGGGCCTCTGGAGCCTCTGACCAGGGTAATTGATTTGTCTGTTCTACATGTTGTGGACAGACTGTTGTTGATCAAGCTAATGAAACCAAACATCTTTTTGCAAAGTATATACACAGAGTAGGCAGTGTGCATTAAACACATCAGCTACAAATGGCTCTGCTTTAGGAGAAACCGTATTATCAAACACAGTAGGAGACCGCATGTATGAAACTTCTGGCAAACTTTACAAAAAATGAAATATAAGCTGGCCCTGGTGGCTCACACCTATAATAGCCACACTTGGGAGGTGGGGACAAGAGGATCAAAAGTTCAAGGTGAACCTTGGCTACATGGTGAGTTTGTGTTTGGTCCCTGCAGAGGCCCGGAAGAGGACATTGAATCCTCTGAAAACTGAAATCACAGACTGTTGTGAACTGCTGTGTGAGTGCTGGGAGTTGAACCCAAGACCTCTGCAAGAGCAGCCAATGCTCTTAATCCCTGAGCCATCTCTCCAGCCCTGATGTTAATCTTTCAATAGTTATCTTTTGAGTAGAAGCTCTTAATTTTCATGTCATACTTATCAGTCTTCTCCTGATGGCTACCTATCTTTCTGTGTTCACCTCAAGAAATCTTTCACTATCTTATGAAGATAGCATTTATTCATGTTTATCACCTTGTAAAAATGCTGTTGGTGGTAGTGTTTGTTTTTCTTTTTTATTTCTTTTTATTTTTTTAACTTGAGACGAGATCCCATGTGACTCTGGTTGGCCTCAAGGCTGGCCTTGAACTCCTGATTCTCCTGATTCCACCTGAGGGTTGGATTTACAAGTGTGCACCATCGTGCCCAACTACTTTGTAGAAGCTATGAGTAGTAGTATTTCATGGTGTTAAGAATAGAAACTAGATTTTTGTACATACAGTGAAGTACTCCACCACTATACTGCATCCCAAGCCTGAGGTTTTATTATCTTTCATATTTAGGTCTATGATTCATCTGGAATTGGTTTTTGTATGGGGAGGTGGTAGAGGCTGAAGTTCAGATTTACCCCCATGTGGATATAGATTGGATCCAGCAATGCTAATCGAAAAAGTCATCCTCTATTTGATGTATTACAATGGCATCTTTGTAAAAGAAGTAAACATATTTACATGGTCTGTGTCTGGATTATGTGGCTTTGGCTGAGCTCACAGCAACAGATAACTGTGACATGGTTCCAAGTGGATTCAGCCTTAGGAAACACAAAGGCACTGGAGAAATGGGAAAGCTAGTCTATAAATGGACTCTGCACATGCACATATTCAAGTATGTATTTGTCCAAGTGCATGTCTGTGTGAATATATGCAGGTCTGTCGATCTAAATATTTTCTTAGCATCTGCTTGGCCATCAGGGCTTTTCTCCTGAGTGTCTGTGTGTAAGTGCATGTGAATATGCATAAATTTCTCTGTGAATTTGAATATCTTACCAACTGTGTATCTGCATGTATTTTTGTGTGAGCTCTGTGGCATCCATCTGTGTGCATCTCTGGGTAGCCAGAAGGGTTTCTCCTTCACCACATTTAGAACTTGGGGCAGGAGCCCAACCTATCCAGAAGGTAGGTAAATAGGACTCTCTAGTACACATTTGAGTTGTAGGAATTCAGAAGTAAAACTGTAGCTGCTCAGACACTTGTAAGCTGTCAAGGCCTCCTGTGTTATGTATGGAAAATATAAGGCCCATTTCCCCGATAGCACACAGACTCAGTGCCAGATTGAAGTAAAAACCTGGTCTCAGCTTGGTGTGGTGATTTACACCTGAGATTCAGCACTTGGAAACTCCTAGAAGTTCCAAGGCCAACCAGGGCTACATACTGAGCTCCAGGCCAGCCTGGTTACAGAATAGGAAAGACCCCGTTGGAACAAAACAAAATCTGAAAACAGTAAGAATTCAGTTTCTGGACTTAGCAGGCCAGGTCTTCCTATGGTCCCAAATGATCTGTAGAAATCTTGGAACATCATGGTATTCAGATAGTCAAGTGGGGCTGGAGAGATGGTCCAGTGGTTAAGAGCACTGGCTGCTCTTCCAGAGGACCTGGGTTCAATTCCTAGCACTTACATGGTAGCTCACAGCCATCTGTAACTCTAGTTCCTGGGTATCTGAAGCCATTTTCTGGCCTCCAAGGGTACCAGGCACTTATATGTTACCCAGGCATACATGAAGGCAAACATCTAGGCATGTGAAATAAGATGAAAATTTTAAGAAGAAACTATGGTCTTTGAGCAAGAGTACCGATAAGCACTGGAAGTACTACAGCAGCTCCCGGTGCTTGGGCTGATGGGCAGTCACAGCATATGGATGTCAGGGATGACTGGGCAGTTGCAGCGAGAAGGTAAAGGATGATATAAATTGCCAGAGACTGCACTGGGGTGTTCCCGGATAAAACTACTGTTTGGACGTGAGCTATAAGCTACCAGTGTGCCCAAATCACCTTGTACTTTCACTGGCGTAGGGGATGATGTGATATAGTCTGATGTTTGGCTTTACATTCTCAGGAAGTTCTGACAACCTTAGGAAAGGACTGAACCTGAGACTAGAGTGCCCAAGGATGTTGCATGGAAAGTTAAAAAGTGTAGAGGAACTTGAGAATGGTGTGCTTTGAATAGTGAGGGAGAGGAGAAGTGTGGGGGAGAGAGAGAGAACTTGAAGGCAGGCATCATCAGTCTCAGGCTTTTGAATTCTGCTCTGGGAGCTGTTGTGTTCTAAGCAGGGAAGTAAATATGACCAGAATTGTGTTTAGAAGGGGAAAAAAATCTGTAGATGTAACAAGTGGAAGATTGGTGAGGAGTAGAAACACCGTTTGGGAGGCTGTTCCTGTCTACAGGTAAGACCTGGTGGTGACTGGGGAGACCACAGAGTGGTGGCAGCAGCAGAAATTGAAAAGGTAGGTGGATTCCAAAGAGATACAGGACTTGTTGACAGGCTGCATGTGGAGGTGAGGCAGTGATGGGTCCAGGTGTCCTGCTGATGAGGGTTCCTTCAGAAGAGGAATTCCATTAGACATGCTGAGGCCAGTTGTTAGTTCACTCTTTTCTACCCTCTTCTCACTCTGCTAGGAATGCTCCAAAATGGCAAGAAATTTGATTCATCCAGAGACAGAAACAAACCTTTCAAGTTCAGAATTGGCAAACAGGAAGTCATCAAAGGTTTTGAAGAAGGCGCTGCCCAGGTAGGCTAAGGATTCCAACTAAGGGTTTAAAGGAAGCAGAGGATGCTCACTAAAGGGGTTTTAAGGACTGGTGGATTTGAGTCCTCCACGTCCCCACACACTGCAGTACAGACCGCACACTGCCATGACTGTACTGCCAGGGTGCAGCAACGCCACCTAGTGCTCACTCCTGGTTCTGCCTTTCACCTCTTCTGTGGCTGGCACATCTGTGTCTCATCCCAAGCATCTCTCCTAGACTTGCTTGAGTGGGCTGAAAAGGTCAACAAGCTTTGGTAAGACAGCAAAAGAGCTAGAGATGGGCAAGCCAAGCAGTGCTTTGGTTTTTGCTTCTAAACATTTTTTGAAGCTATTTTAGACATAAAAATATTGCAGAAATAGCAGAGCTCCTATATAATTTTCACCAGCTTCTTCAAATGTTAACCTAGAACATTAACACCAATGCAATACTAACAAGTCAACTTACTCTCCCTCAATTTGGTAGGGAAGTCATAGGATGTCTCACTCCTGGAGCTTTGCCTTTGCTGCCTTGCTGTGGCTGTTAGTCACTGAATCTTTACTGATCCCGTTACAAGTGTGTTTGGTGCTGTTTATACATTCCTCTTTGGCTACTTCAGAAGAGGACCAGAAACAATTATGAGCAGACACAGTGTTCAGGCCATGCACTAGCTGGATAACCAGCAATGTCCGATGTTTGAATGAATCTGAGACTACTTTGTGGCTGCTAATTGCCCCGTAGTCAAGTCTACTTTGAGGTAGAATCTGCATGTTATGCTGTTAGCCTAACTTTAGTGAACCATGTGTAAAACTAATCTCAGATCTGGAATTACCATAAATATGGTTTGGGAAAAATGCCATAGTCACCTTACCTTTTTCTTTTAAATCAAGCTGGGTCCTCTTTCTCCTCTCCCCATCTGCCCCCATCCCTGCTAGATGAGCTTGGGGCAGAGGGTGAAGCTGACCTGCACTCCTGATGTGGCATATGGAGCTACTGGCCACCCTGGTGTCATCCCTCCCAATGCTACCCTCATCTTTGACGTGGAGCTGCTCAACTTAGAGTGAAGGCAGGAAGGAACTCGAGGTGGCTGGAGATGGCTCCTGCTCTCTGTCCTAGCCTGCTCTGCCACTGGGATGGCTCCTCCTACACAGGGCTCTTGATCAGTGTGCTGACCTCACTGCCCCTCGACATTGTCCATTCTTTCCGCCCGACTTGCTCTGTATGTGTCCGCCACTTTAATTATTCCCATATGTCTTTGCTTGAGGAAAGATCCATTTTGTGTGTTGCATGTACTAGCCATTCCTGATCAGAGGACACAGATCTTGTTTGCACAATCTATATTGCCTTACCTGTACTTAAGCCAGACATACAAGGTGCTCAGACATGCGCTGTTCACGGTTCCATGGAGGGACTTGAGCCAGTTACCTTTGCTGTCACTTTCTTATCTTCTGTTGGCTGCCCACTTTCAGCAGTGCCCTCTTTGGAAATACTATGTAAAATAAATGCTCCATGCTTGGCATCTTCCTGTCCATTGTGTTGTGGGAAGTTCTTTAAAGCCAACCGCCCTTGGTGACAAAGGAAGCTTCCTAGTAGTTTGCTCACCTAACTGTTCATGCTGGACTTTGTTCCATATTCTTTTGGTCTTATTTTGTTTTGAGACAGGGTCTCGGAGCCCAGGCTGACCTAGAACTCCTTCAGCCTCCTGACTACTGGGATTTACAGGTGTATACCACCCAGGTCTAGCTTTCCTTTTAAAATAAAATGGTCACAAATCCTCTAAGCAACTTTACAAATTAGCTATTACCCTACTAAACTCACCAGCTCGGAGTCTTCTGTGTAACCCAGCATCCTAGCAATCCCACATGGGATCTGATCTCCTAAGGTGATCCCATAACTTCATCTGTTTGCAGAGACTGAGGGATGAGCTTCCCTCACCTGACACAAACTGTGCATCTGAGCAAATGTTAAATATGTTAAAGGCTTGAAACCTTAGACTCATTCTGGGAAGTTACTTTGGAAGAGAATGTGTGGTTCTGAGGCTTGTTTTTATAGGCACCACTTAGTTACATCTAGATCTGCTCTTGCTCACCTTGAAGAGTTACTTCTGAGAACAATGTAGTAGAATGTGTGTGTGTGCCTGCACGTGTGCAGGTGTATATGGAGGCCAGGGGACAACCTAACTGTTAATCCTCAGGAGCCATCCATCTTGTTTATTAGTTTTTATTGTTGTTTTGTTTTTTTGAGACAGGATTTCTCTGTAGCTTTGGAGTCTGTCCTAGAACTCACTCTGTAGACCAGGCTGGCCTGGAATATACAAATATCTGCCTGTCTCTGCCTCCTGAATGCTGGGATAAAAGACATGCACCACCAACGTCCAGCTTGTTTGTTTACTTATCTACCTATCTCTTTTTATTTGAGACAGGATCTCACTGTACAGGCTGGCCTTAAACTCAAACTCAGAGAGACCTGTCTGCCTCTGTCTCCCAAGTGATGGGATTAAAGATCCACTGAAAAACATCATGTAGCATCCTATATATAGGATCCAGGGCCACCATCTGGGCTACTTTCTTTAACTCTTATCTCCAGGAAGTCATGGATAATTCCTCTGCTAAAGCTGAGGGGGTCATGAAAAAGTGGTGCAACACAACCATGAATGGAAAAGGGGCTGCCTTGCTTTTACTCATTCAGTCTGTGGGACCACAGTGGCCAAAGGATGCTGTCCCCATTCCACTCTGGGGTGTCACCTCTGGAATGTCTTGCTTCCTTGATGACTCCAACACCTATAATTCCTCAGAACTCAGCCTGTATAGAAGACATACCCATGCTTTCTGCTGTTGACACCAAGAGGATGAGCAAAAATGACACCAAAGACTATGTCATAGGCTCATACAAAAGATCTGTCCATGGTAGTGTAGCCTGGGTGGCAAGAGGCTGTAAGGACAGCTACTAAGAAACCCTAAAAAAATGCAAACACCCATTGGCTAGCACCTGAGGGATATAAAGGCTTTACAGGTAAGCTGAGAAATGACTGCTTTCTCAAGTCTTTGGAAGATGATGTGGCAATATGACACATGCCAGAATTCAGACAGTGTCTTGAAAGAGCCACTAGAGATTGGAAAGCGGCAGACTAGTTATACAATCCTGTCAGTTGTTTTCAAACTGCTTCTCAATGAGCCTCCCAAATTGTTATAGAACAGGAGGGCAGTGGTGGTGCATGGCTTTAGTCCCAGCACTCCGGAGGTAGAGGCCAGCATGGTCTACAGAGTGAGTTCCCGGACAGCTAAGGCTACACAAAGAAACCTTGCCTCGAAAAACCATAACCAACCAACCAACCAACCAAACAAACAAACAAAAGGACAACAACAAAAAACTGAACTTTAGGTGCCTGGTACAGAAGACGATCATCAATGAGAGCCTTAGATTTAACAACTTACCTCCTGCATAGTGGCTCAGTGTCTGTCCCACTCTTGTCTGAGTTCTTGTAACTAAATTAGAGTTCCAGACAATCAGAAGGGAATTTGTTTTCTGTAGTGCTGGGGTCAAACCCAGCAACTGGTTGGCTCAGAAAGCCCTCTCTCACTAAGCTCTATCCCTAGCCCTAGTTTTAAACCTCTTAATTTTGGGTCATGAAATTCAGTTAACAGGTCCATAATCCAAAGGACACTGTTCATAAGTGCTAATAGAAGTAATTGTCCTAGGTACTGGCACCATTAGTGTTGAGCTGGCCTGCCACTTTGAGACATCACTCTCTAGTCAGTCTCCTTTCAGTTTTCCCCAACAAAGAGCTCTTTCAGAGCACCTTTTACATCTGCAGACATCTAAGCCACAGCATGCATATGGAATTAAGGAAATCATAAAGGCACTCATAATATTACAGCTGTGGCCTTTTTTTTTTTTAAAGGTTTATTTATTATGTATACAACATTTTGCCTCCATGTATCCCTGCATGCCAGAAGAGGGCACCAAATCTCATTACAGATGGTTATGAGCTACCATGTAGTTGCTAGGAATTGAGCTCAGGACCTCTGGAAGAGCAGTCAGTACTCTTAACTTTTGAGGCATCTCTCCAGCCCCCAGCCATGGCCTTTTTAGAAAGGAATTTTTTTCTTTTTTCTTTTGGTTTTTGGAGACAGGGTTTCTCTGTGTAGCTTTGGAGCCTATCCTGGCACTCACTCTGGAGACCAGGCTGGCCTCGAAATCAGAGATCCGCCTGCCTCTGCCTCTTGAGTGCTGGGATTAAAGGTGTGTGCCACCAACGCCTGGCTTAAAAATAATAAATTATCTTAAAAATAGAAATGGCTTTTCACTGGCTGTGGTGGTATATACATTTAATCCCAGCACTCAGGAGGTAGAGGCAAGCAGGTCTCTGAGTTTGAGGACAGCATGGTCTACATAGTGGGTTCCGGAACAGCCATGGCTGTTACCCAGAGAGACCTTGTCTCAAAAAAAAAAAAAAAAAAATAATAATAATAATAATAATAATAACAAAAGGCCTTTCCTTCTTTTACAGTGCTTTCAAAACCCACTCAGATATAATAAATCATTCCTGAGTGAGCTTTGAAGACAGTACAAAAACTAGAAAGTGGCCTATTTTCTTAAATGTAATGACAGACTTTAAATGTAATTAAAATAGGATATCTTTGCTGGGCAGTGGTGGCACATGCCTTTAGTCCCAGCATCCGAGAGGCAGAGGCAGAAGCAGACAGATCTCTGTAAGTTCGAGGCCAGCCTGGTCTTCAAAGAGAGTTCAAGGACAGTCTCCAAAACCTACAGAGAAACCCTGTCTCAAAAAAAAAAAAAAAAAAAAAAGTAGGATATCTCTGCCAATACTAGTCAGTCTATGTAGCCTTCAAAGTGACTCTAGGTTCTAGGTTTACAAAACAATCAGTCCACACTTCTCAATTTGGCATGTGCCTGAAGTATAAAAAGAAAATTTATAGCTATCTTTCCCCAAACTGCCAAGTCACAATGAATGTGATAATTATTGCTCTTCCCAAGTCATGAAAACTCCTCTAAGATTAAGCATTTTATTTATGGCAAAGCCATATTGTGACCTAACTCCAAAAATATATAGTTAATAATGACAAGAAAATCTATGTAAGTTCAATTTTGGCATCACTGCCTAAATAGCTTGCTCTCAAATTTTTAACATGCTGCCCTCTAAATCATCACCTCCATGACAGACCTCTGTTGTCAGGACAAGGGCTACCACACTGACAGGTGCCTGATTTCTTTATAGCTCTTGTACCAGCCCTCTTATGTCTCTGCCTTTGTCTTTTTAACACAGGGTCTTACTCTGTAACCCAGGCTGACACTGGCCCAGGATTTACTACACAGCCTAGGAAGGTCTCAAACTCATGGTGATCCTCTTGCCTCAGTTTCTCAGGTGCTGGGATTACAGCTGTGAACTATACTAGCTTTTCATGAGCTTTGGTGTCCTCATGTTACCTCATGGGTTGTTACTAGTTAAAAATGACAAGTCTGGGCTGGGTGTGGTGGTGCACACCTTTATTCCCAGCACTTGGGAGGTAGATCAGGCAGATCTCTGTGATTTGGAAACCAGCCTGGTTTACACAGAGAGACCCTGTCTCAAAAAAACAAAATCAGAACAAAAAAGACAAGTCTACAAGTCCCTTTGATGGCTTACGGGTTGCTGAAGGCATTTGCTAGCAAGCCTAAGTTTAATCTCCAAGACCCATGTGGTGGAAGAAGAGAAGTAACTTCTACCAGTCATTCTAGTTGCTACAAACGAGCACACTTGACCACACATATATGCAACAAATAAAATATAAACAAACAACAACAAAACTCCCCAAAAGCCATTGTGTTCAAGGTCCTCAGTCCCTAGGCTCACCTACAATCCTGCACGTAGTTTTCCTGTTTTGTTTTTGTTTTTTTTCTGGTATTAAACAGGAATGGGAAGTTTAAGAGAAACTGGCTGGGAAGTGGTGGCACAGGCCTTTAATCCCGGCAACTGGGAGGTAGAGGCAGATGGTCTCTGAGTTCAAGGTCAGCCTGGTCTACAGAGTTAATTAGTTCCAGGACAGCTAGGCTATTACACAGAACCCCCCCAAAAAAGAGAAAACACTAACAGGTTTTACAAAAGCTACAAGTTTACTAACATAATATATTCTAAAGATTAGAAAAGTTTCAAACAAGTCATTTTGGGTCTCAGATGAGAAATATTCAGTATTAAAAAGAAACAAGGTTAACAGGGACCATGAATGGATGTATTCAGAGTGAAATCCCCCAGCTCATTTTGGGGGATCTGTGTTGATGCCATACTTTTCCTTGAGAAGCTTCAGCTGCTCCTCCTTCTTCTTGGTGTCCATCTTCTGGAATGCCTGCAAGTGTGACAAGCACCACAGTTAATGGGTACTGACTGCAGCTAATGGAGTTCATCAGTAGCACTAGCCCAGAGACAACCCACCACACACTTCCCAGAGCCAGTGCTGCTCTGAGTGTGCTGTACTCACCCGGTTAGCATTATAATACAAAACCACCAGGTATCGGTTACACACGTTGAATCCTGATAGATGGTCACATGCATTCTTAGCATCAAAGATGTCTTCATAGACCACATAGGCTGTTCCTCTGGTCTCAGGTGTATTTCCTCTGCAGGACAGTTAGAAGACACATTTATCCAAGAATCGACAATTTTCAGTCTTTCTGAACCTGTAACTTGGTTGTTTGTTTTGGTACTAAGTGCTGGCATTAAAGGCGTCTGCCACCATCTCCTAGGTGGGCACAGTATTTTTAAAAATACAAACTATATATTCAAGCTCTCTATGCCAAGTATTCTACCTCTGAGCTCTACAGTTTGGAGACAATATACAGAAATAGGTTTTATTTAAGTAATTTGAAACGAACCTGAAAAATACCAGAGGGAACAAACATTATGAATAGATATGCTAATGTAGGCTAAATGAGCCTTTTTTTTTTTTTTTTTTTTTTTTTTTTTGGCTTTTCAAGACAGTTTCTCTTGTGTTGCCCTGGCTGTACTGGAAGTCACTCTGTAGACCAGGCTGGCCTCCAACTCAGAGATCCACCTGTCAGCATCATTTGCTGTACATAGCTGTGGGACACAGTGAGACCAGATCTCAAAACAAAACAAATCTATAACCCTTACCCCCACTCTCACACCAGACTCCCATCTAGGCCTTGTTGGTAAAAAGGAATGAAAAACCTTATCATGCAATTTAGCCTTTCTAGCTTCAGCTACTTTACATCACACAGTGATCTCAGTATCATTTGTCCTATATTATATGTATTTCTTTAAAAAATGCCGGGCGTTGGTGGCGCACGCCTTTAATCCCAGCACTCAGGAGGCATAGGCAGGCGGATCTCTGTGAGTTTGAAGCCAGCCTGGTCTCCAGAAAGAGTGCCAGGATAGGCTCCAAAGCTGCATATAGAGAAACCCAGTCTCGAAAAACCAAAAATAAATAAATAAATAAATAAATAAATAAATAAATGAATAAAGATTTATGTGTATATGTAGGTGTCTGTGTGCAGATGTTTACATGCAGGTGCACTTGGGAGGCCAGAAGTGGATGTCAGATCCCTGTGGAGCCGGAGTTACAGGCAGTTGGGAGCTACGTAATGTGGGTGTTGGGAACAGAACTTGGACCCTCTGGAAAAGCAGGAAACACTCTTAGCCACAGTCATTTTCCCCAGCCCCTTATATGTGATTTTAATAGAAAAGCTAACAATATTAAAAGGCTTTAAAGAATACAAAGTACCAAATGTCTACTACACATCAGGTAGAGCCATCGGTTGTCTTGGTGTGTGAAGCTCAGCTAGGTTTTAAAGTCCCATTCTAGAAAATCAGCATTTGGGAAGCAGAAGCAGACAAGTCTCTGAGTTCAAGGCCAGCCAGGCCCATACAGAGAAACCCTGTCTTGAAATACTCATACAGAAAAGAAAATCAGTACTGGCTAAACTGGTCAGCACAGTATTTGGTACCAAGTAAGCAAGAGAGGGAACAGAAAAACAGCTCTTTCTCACTCGGCAGTTAAGATCCAGGCTGGCCACACTGAATTCTCCCTAAGACGGGCAGGAGAACTAACAGTGAAAAGGTAAGCATCACCCTTTCCTTCAAGGAGCTAGGGCTCAAAGACATTACATAAAAGTATGAATCACAGACCACGTGAGTGGAGCCATCTAAGGAAAGGAGAGCCAAGACAGAGATTAGTGAGGGGAGCTACTTTAACTGGGATGCTTGGGGAAACTCTCTCTGAAAAGTCCTCCCTGAGGCTGAGAACAAGATGAGAAGGAACAGTATGACAGGGGCTGTGACAAACAGCTTAGAAGCAGAGGCCCCAAGCTACTGTGGTCCTTCCTGTTTGTGCTTGGGTTACACTCAACCACCAAGCTATATCCCCAACCACTTTTAATTTACCACACTGAACTGCCCAGACTGGCCTCAAACTTGCAATCTTTCTGCCTCAGACTCCAAAGTGGCTCCCATTACAGGTGTCTTCCACCACGACTGGTTCTTTTGTGGCATCTTCAGCAACATTCTTTAATTTAACTTTGATTTAATGATCTCTGAACTAAGTATTATCAGTAAGCTTTATAATGCCATCACACAGTAATCCTGGCCATAATACTACTTTATTCATTTATTTTCTTATGGTATTGCCGAATGAACTCAAGGTGTTGCATGCTCTACTACTCAGCTGTATCCCCAGCCCTATTCATTTGATACTTCAGAAAACTTATAAAAATGTAAGTGGGGTTGGGGTTATAGCTCAGAGGTATAGTGCCCACCTCGAATGTATAGGGCTTTGGGCTCAAACCCACAGGCCTACTTCAAAGGTGCTTCCTAAAAAGAAATATTGTGCCCTTAAATGGCACAGGTTCAGGTACTGTAGAGATAGTTTATGGTTCAGTTCAGGGTTAGAAGATTTTATCACTAAATATTACACGGCACTAGAAAGGTACTTTTACTCAATAGCTTGGTAATCTCACTGTGAAACAGACGCATCACTACATCACACAGCCCAGCCCTTGGTGCCAGCGACAACTCGGAGATTATAGATTAGGCAAGCATTTTCTGAAAGAGACATTTCAAGTCCCAGTAAGACTTACACTCTGATTTGACGAATAGGTCCATATTTCCCAAATATATCATACATTTCTTCTGCTGTGATTTTGTATGGCAAATTCCTTATATACAAAATCCGATTTACTTCAGGTGGGAGTCGAATCTAAGATGAGGAATATGTATCATTATGTTGTAGGAGAGCAATGCTACCACTGAAAAGAACTCCATGATGCAAAATAAGAATAACAACTATAATCCAATACTACTCAAAGTGGCATGCTCTTGGGAAAACAACAGAGCACCACACAGGGGAGGCTATAGGTAGGAAGTAAAACTGAGGTTTTTAACAAGTATTTCCCACTTCATTCACAGATCCTTAAGTCTCCCAGGAAAGAAAAGAAAGACGGTAAAATCCCACTCAAGCTTTCTGTCTTAAGAACTTGTGTCAATAACTTCTCTCTCTTGTTCTTATGGGATTTCCCTTCCCACTAGCTTCTAGTCCTCCCAATCTCCACACAAAACAAAACACTGGAGTCCTCTTCACTTACTCATCAGATAGTTACTAAATGCCTTTTTAATGTGCACAGTGGGCTAGATATTAGAGAGACACCTTGAAGAAAGGACAAGGTGTCTGGCTCCCCTGCACTTTCTAGCTCTCTCTACTTAACCCCCCCTCTCTCTATATATAGTCATAGCTGTTCTGGAACTTGCTTTGTAGACCAGGATGGCATCGAACTCACCGAGATCCTCCTGCCTCTGCCTCGCAAGTGTTGGGATTAAAGGCGTGCGCCACCACCCGGTAATAAGAATGACATTAATTCACAGTTGTGTCCCTAACACTTAACACTGGCGTGTGGCACACAGTAGATGTTAAATAAATACATCTGATGAATTGTTTTCCATTTGTAAAACAAGATACATGGCAGGTGCTTAAACATATTAACAGATAACTCCCAAAGTTCTACATACGAGAAAAACCCCAGGCTCCAGCGGGCAGTGAATCACATAGTTACTGAGTGAGTCTGTGCTATCGACTTTTTAGACTCAGAAGATCCTAACGCCTGGTCCTAGGTTGAGGACAAGAAGCAGAAACTGCAGACCTTACACTGTCGATGATACCAGGGGGCTCTCAAGGGAGGTGGGGGCGAAAAGTCGCTCAAGGAACACACCCCTGAGCACAAAGCCAGGATACAATCTCTTCTGACCGAATAGGAAACGGGCTACCCCGCCTATGGGCGAAGGACAAGGATCCTCCCATCTACGCTGAGACAGCCAAGCAACGAGATCGTTCCCCTCCCGCGCAGAAAGCGGGTACTCACATTCGCCCTCTTGGCCGCTTGCATCGCCATCTTGGCGGGCTGTGGGAGGTTACCGCAGGATTCCTCCGAGTATCTCTAAAGGTCGGTCGCCTGCGAGGGCGACACAGCGTCAGATACAGAGTATCAACAGCCAGGTAGAGCCGCAAGCTGTCACAGCACCGCCGGAAAGGCAGCGTCTCAAACTAAGACGTGTTGACGTCCTCGAAAAGATACTCAAGAACAAACTACCGGGAGAGCGTCCTCAGACCGGAAAGCGAGAAGGCGAGCTCCAAGACGCTTCCGGATACCGGCAGGAAAGGGCGGAGCGAAGACTACAGGGAGGGAGGTGTTCCTGCTGGAGGGGGGAGGGGCTTGAGGACTGAGGGGCGGGGTCCACGTGAGGACCTAGATCCACAGGGTAGCGGCTTAGCGCTGCGGAGGTGGGAGTAGCTTTCTGCACGTTTAGCGCATCCTACAGGGTTCGGAATCTGAGCTGTAACCACAACACTGGTCGGGGGCTCTGGGTCTCGGGTCCCCCATCACCTGATGATGGTCCTGACTCCCACCTCATCCTTGTCCACGTACTGGGTCGCCGACAGAGAGCACACCTCCTTTCACATACGCTCTTTTTGTTTTATTTCGTTAGACCAGCTTTACAGGGGCGGACCTGGGAGTAGAACCGACCCCAAGTTTGCTCTGGAGTCTTCCTTCACTGGGGCAGCTCCAAGACGATTTTGCCCACGTTCTTGTTAGCCTCCATGTACTCGTGGGCCGCTTGAATATCAGTCGCCTGGTAGACTCTGTCCAGAACTGGCAGCAGACGTTGGGGGCTGTCCTTGGAGAAGTAGGGCAGAATCTGCTCCGTGAAAGTTTTCACCAGAGTTTGTTTGTACTAAGGAAAAGAACATCAACCTGAAGAGAGGCCTTACCCGGCCATTCCCCATCCTACTTGGCCTTAATGATGTCTGAATATCTGAAACAGCACACCCCTTCACTTCCTGTACGAAACAGCATGCTTTCAAATGTGTATCCTCAATCTACCAGGTGAGATTGAAGGCTGCAGTAAAATACTAGTGTAACTGACAGATTTATATAGTGTCAATACAAAAGGAATACTTAAGCTTTATCTTCCCCTTGGTGCAAAACTGATGGAATAACCTTCCCAAAGCTGGTGCTTGCTAGAATGCTACAGAAGACCTTAGGAACATAAATTTGTTGAAGGTACAAGCTTATTTACCTAATAGGCTTTCATTTTTCCCTTTTTTTTTTTTTTTAAAGACAGGGTTTCTCAGTGTAGCTTTGGAGTCTGTACTGGAATTCGCTCTGTAGACCAGGCTGGCCTTGAAGTCACAGAGATCCGCCTGCCTCTGCCTCCTGAGTGCTGGGATTAAAGCCGTGTGCCACCAACGCCAGCCCCTAATAGGCTTTCTTAGCACACTGAGAAGAGGTCTACCCTGAACACAAAAACCTATTTGAAGACTTATTACTATAGCCGATGCTGGTGTTTTGAATCTGATAGAAAGCTGTATGTATGTATGTATGTATGTGTATGTATACGTATATGTATATATGTAATATATATTTTTATATATGTAATATATATACATATATATATATATATATATATATATATATATATATAATCAGAATATGCTGAAGACTTTTGTTGACTAATCTTGAACACATCTGTCCACAAGATGGCAGTTTCTTTATAGGCTCCTGAGAGCTATGACTGGGTACGTACAAAAGCAGAGTTCTGGGTGACAGTCATACTTTGTTTTTCACTCATTACTCACCTTATTATCCCTAGATCGCAGCAAACTAGTGATCAGACTCCCTCGTTTAAAGAGTAGTTTTGAAAACAGGGGCCCACTAACGTCAGCTCCTCCTATTAAACCATAGAGAACCCAGCGACCGTCAAGAGCAAGGCAGTTGACATTCTTCTCCCAATAGGATCCACCTATGCAGTCTAGAATAAGATCAACTCCAACACCTTCCAAAGGGGAAAGATTGATAATAATGTTAGACACAAAAAATGGGTACAAATAAGATTTCATGGTGTATTTGTGGTTATGTGAGTGAAATATAATGTAGGTGTGGTGGTGCATGCTGTAATCCCAGCACTTGGCGGCTGAGACAGGAGAATCTCATGTTCGAGGCTGGAGGCTAACCTGGGGTACATAGTGAGACCTTGACTCAAAATAACAAAGCAGTACAAGTGCAGATGGCAAGTACAGTTGCAACTAAAAATATTGGCTGTAGAAATATTGTTGTAAATGGAATTACACAATAGCACTCTATAACAGCATGTATAATATAGTGCCTCTTTTATGAGTCCCCGGTCCCCACCTGGACATAGCAGGAGGAAGACAACTACTCCAGGACCTGTTATCTCACCTCACCCCCCTAACAATACTGTCCCACTGGCATCCAGGCATGAGTAGGAGTAGGAAAGAGGAAGCCTATTCCAGGCTGCAGAGCAGAGGATCGTCCACATCTAAGGGGGTCTGCACTGGATTATCAAAGTCACAGCTTGTTAACTTCGTTCTCGCCTCTCCTTTTCTACCCACAAGGAAAATAGAAAATAATGAATAAAAAAAAGCCAGATTTGAGCTAAGATGTAGCTCAATTGGTAGTCTACCCAACATGCATAAAGCCCTTGTTTGGTCCCCAGAATCATATAAACCAAGCAAGGTGGTATATATCTGCAATCCCAGCACTCAGAAGATAGAGAAGGGAGAATCAGAAGTTCAAGGTCACTTTCAGCTGCATTGAGTTTGAGCCCAGCCTGAATACAAGAAACCCTGTCTTCAAAAAAATCCAGACTTGTTATTGAACACACACACACACACATACACACCTGCTTATCCCAGCCCTACTCTGACCATCTCTAGATTAGTCTGTGCTGCAGGCTTCCTGTTAACTCACTATAGAGTGGTTATGTGGGAAGAATGGACCCTGGATAATCTCATGTCAACTCTGTGTGACTATGTAGTTTCTAGGCATGTATGAACCATGTTACTTGCAAAAGTGCACATTGTGGGTTAGAGGTGGAGTTCTTGCCCTGTGTGGACATAGACAACATTGAAATGATCTATCTTGGGCTAGAGAGATGGCTGAGTGGTTAAAAACACTAGTTAGCCTTCCAGAGGTCCCAAGTTCAATCCCCAGCAACCACATAATGGCTCACAACCATCTGTAATGAGATCTGGTGCCCCCTTCTGGCCTGAAGAAATACATGCAGATAGAACACTGTATACATAATAAATAAATCTTTTTTTTTTTTTTTTTTTTTAAGCTTTTTTTTTTTTTTTTTTTTGGTTTTTTGAGACAGGTTTTCTCTGTGTAGCTTTGGAGCCTATCCTGGCACTCGCTCTGGAGACCAGGCTGGCCTTGAACTCACAGAGATCCGCCTGCCTCTGCCTCCCAAGTGCTGGGATTAAAGGCATGTGCCACCAACCCCCGGCCTTTTTTTTTTTTTTTAAAGGAAGAAAGAATCTATCTTAGACCCCAGTGCTGGCTGCTAGTCTCTATCAAACATCATAATACACCAGTTTGGCCAGGACAGCTATAGCCTTTACAGCAAAGTCTAGGCTGACCCAGAATACTGGCAACCATGGAGACCAATATTTCATTTAATCTTTCTTTCTTTTTTCCCCCCACATCTGCTGAGTTGTAGAAGGAGTGACTCACCATTAGTGAACCTCAGTGTTGATTCAGAAAAATCTTCTCTGTAATTGAATCCAGCAGCAGCCCCAAGCTTTTCTGCCATTTGAAGCTTATGCTGGGAGCCAGCTGTAACCAGCGGAATAGCACCAGCCTTCCGAGCCAGCTGGATGGCAGCTGTGCCCACACCACTTGATCCTGCATGGATCAGCACATAGTCTCCAACCTGAACATTGCCTGTGATGAAAAGTATAGAAACTGTTGTCCCTCTGTCCAACTACAGGAATAGCCTGTACTACCTGACTCTTGGACCCAATGCCAAATATCCTGGTTTCTAAAGGACACATTGACAGTTCTCTCTCTGTCTTTCTGACTCTGTCCCCCTCTCTTTTCCTTCTTTTTCTTTTTTTCCCCTTACTGCTTCTGAGCAAGTGGGAAATGGGCTTTAGTTACAAAACTATTGGTAGCCATATCCATTATCTCTATTTGAAATATGAAATAACACCCCAATGCATATACCTACATACATACTTTTTAAAGCAAGAATAACCCCAACTTCCCACTGTCATCACTTGAAGCCAGTCCTTTTTCAGTGAATCTGGCTTTTTTTTAGCTGATCTCACTGGTCCAAGCATCACACATAGACACGAGACTCCTCCACCCCAAAAGGAGCTTTCTTTATCATCATCTTTTTTTTTTCTCAGAACTGGAAGCAACTTTTTGACTTTGCACTGAATCCAAACAGTCTGGCATTCATGGCCTTCAATCTAACCAGCCTCATCTTTTACAAATGACAACAACCATCCCTCATCTCTGAGTGGAGCAGATATCCTCACCTTGACACTTTCTTGGCCTGCCTTGATGCATCTTTTGCTACCACAACTCAAGTAATTTTGTTCCTAAAAGCTGTCTGTGGCCACCCATGCTCACATCAAGTCTGCCTCTTCTATTGTACTGGACTCCAAACAGAAGTCCACATGATTTGAGGTGCAGATTACTCCTGGGTCTTTTGTTAAGATATCCATAGTCCTTCTGTCTGCTAACCATGGTTCTCACTACCCCACCCCCCAATATCAAGCCATTTTAACATGGTTTGAGGGTCTGACATTGTTAGCGGTCACCCAACAAGGTATGGTGTTGGGTGCTGGGTGTCCCAGAGGACTGCTGGGGTTTGGAGAGGGTATCCTGGAGGACTGCTAGGGTTTGAGGAGTGAACCATGCTGTGTGAAGTGAGCATCAGGCATCCTCACCTACAAGGTGTAAGAGCTGAAATGCAGTAATCCAGGCCTCTGGGATGGCTGCAGCTTGAGACAGGGTCAATCCTTCTGGGATAGGCATAAGGAGATCTTCAGGGACACTGACATACTGAGCTTGGCCTCCACCAGGCAGCAAAGCCATGGCCAAATCCCCTATCTTCCAGTGTCCCTGGCAGCCAGGGCCCAGCTCAGCCACATGTCCTGATGCTTCAAGTCCCAAAATGCTACTGGCCCCTGGAGGTGGGGCATACTGGCCCAGTCTCTGCAGAAAGAGAGGCACATTAAGTAGGGACGTGATCAGAAACCTGTGTGTCACCATCCTTGGCCCCTCTACAATAGCTCTTCTTTTTTTCAGAGAAAAAAAATCAGGACCAAGTTTGGTTTGGTTTTTTGTTTTGTCTTGTTATTTATTTATGTATTGGTTTTTCGAGACAGGGTTTCTCTGTGTAGCCCTGGCTGTCCTGGAATTTACTATGTAGATCAAGGTGGCCTCAAACTCACAGAGATCCACCTGCCTCTGCCTCCCAAGTGCTGGGATTAAAGGTTTGTAAGTAAGGATAAAGGAGAGGGAGATGGCTTGGTTTATGTAAATAAAAGGCTACAGGTCACAAAGGCTTTAGACCATAAGACAACTGGAGTTTTGCATAAGAAGCATTTCAAACTACAATTGCCTGGCCCTGACATGTTAATTTTAAAAAGTTCACTAGTTGATTCTGATGCTCATTTCTTTCTGTTAGTGTACGTGCATATATGCATATGTGTGTGTGGCATGCATAAGGAATCCAGAGGTCAATATTGAGTGTCTTCCTCAATTGCTCTCCACCTTATATTTTGACATAGGGTCTCTCACTGAACCCAGAGTTACTTGTTCAACTAGACTGGCTGGCCAGCAAGCCCCAGAGATTCTCCTATCTCTGGGGGAATCTCTTGTCTCTGGGATGACAGACACATACCTGTTTTGATTTTTTTTGTTATTTGTTTGTTTTAAGATTTATGTATTTGGGGGGGCGGGTAGGGGAGGATGGGTGGGAAAAGGGAAATGGGATTGTCATGTAAAACAATCCTGTTCCTAATTCAAATTTTAAAAGGTTGGAAAAAAAGATTTATGTATTTTTATTTTATGTGAATTTGTGTTTTACCTGCATGTATGTCTGTGTGAGGATGCCAGATTCCCTGGAACTGGAGTTACAGACATTGTGAGCTGCCATGTGAGTGCTGGGAATCAAACCCCAGTCCTCTGGAAGAGCAGCCAGTGCTCTTAACCTTTGAGCCATCTCTCCAGTCCACACACCTGATTTTTAATTATTGTGCTGGTGGTCCAAACTCAGGTCTTCATGTTTGTTCCACAAGCAGTTCACCAGCAGAGTCATTGTCTCAACCTCTGATGTACATTTCTAATTGATTCCACCAGCTCAGCTGTGACAAGTGCTGTGCTGGAGGATGTAAGTGCTGGAGACAAACCCAGAGCTATGCAGGCTAGGCAGGCAAGCTGCCAACTGTACTATGCCCTCCCTTCCTTCCTGGCATACATCTGCTTCATTTCGTTTGTTTGTTTGTGTGGTACTGAGGACCTTGAGCATGTTGGGCAAATATTCTACCACAGAGTCATGCCCCTGGCCTTACTTCATTCCATTTTTATAGTTGTTGGTTTAACGACCCCCCACCCCCAAACACAAGAGGTCTTTCTTTGTAGCCCAGGATGCCTCAAACTTGAGGCAATCCTCCCACCTCAGCCTCTACAGTGATGGGATCATTCTTAAATTGTAGGCTGCCTTGGTGTTGCACATTTACAAATAATGTCAAAATTCAGAGACTGAGTTGGGAAGGTCTTGAGTTTGAGACCATCTTGGGCTATGAAGGGTTAAAACAATTTTTTATATTATTTTATTTTTAATTTCTTATTTTATTATTAATTTTAATGTCATTAAAATTTATTTATTTATTTATTTATTTATTTATTTTTGGTTTTTCGAGACAGGGTTTCTCTGTGACTTTGGAGGCCGTCCTGGAACTAGCTCTTGTGGACCAGGCTGGTCTGGAACTCATAGAGATCCAATTGCCTCTGCCTCCCAAGTGCTGGAATTAAAGGCGTGCACCACAACCGCCCGGCTCATTATTAAAAATATTAAAACAAGTTTTTTTTGAGACAGCATTTCTCTGTGTAGTTTTGGAGCCTGTCCTGGAACTCACTCTGTAGACCAGGCTGGCCTTGAACTCACAGAGATCCGCCTGCCTTTGCCTCCTGAGTGCTGTGATTAAAGGCGTGTGCCAACACCGCCTGGCTATTAAAACAATTTTTAAAGTGAAAGATTAAAACAATAAATAAATAAATAAATAAAGATGCCTGTCAGCACTCCATCTTGTGGTTGGACTGTGTTTTTTTTCTGAGCTAGTCAGTTTCTTTGGGTTACTTATAGGGAGTTATTTAGTTATAACTTATTAATCAGTCCACATCAATGTACAGTTTGCTTCCTTAGCTGTTCCTATGCTACCTGGAAGTCAGCCTATTTTCAAAAGAGTCTGTTAAAAAAAAGTGTGGGGGATGACAGGCTAACCAGGTTTTGAATGGGTTAAATTCAAGGCCTGAGAGAGAAAATCTTAACCTAAGTTGAACTAACAATCAGTTTGTTCCAATTTGGGTTTCGTGGGCACAGCAGTTTAGATAAGCCATTTATGAAATCCGGGGTGGGAATCTGAAAGGACCATGTCTGACCTTGTTCTAGGTCTTTCTTAGTGACTTTATCTGTAAAATATAGACTTGTCTGAGGAATTTTTTAGGGGCAGGTGTACCCACACCTCTCCTTGTCAACAAATGGTACTTCCGTGACCATTTCCAGGATGCCAGGAGGGATAATGAGGGAACACATAGCAGATTCTTGCTTTGCAAACACCCTTGTTTTTGTTTTCTTGCGGAGGCTCACCCAGGTTCTGAAGCATGGTAGGCAAAGGCTCTATCAATGAGTTACACCCTCAGCACAGCCCCTCACTTAGAGAAACAAAGTGGCTACTTGGCTTTGGGTCTCAGAACCCCCAGCACAGCTGTTCTAATGGGTGCTTCAGGCAACACCCCAATCCCTGCTTTCTCTGTCTGGTCAGTTCACTGAGGACAGAGGATGAGCCCTGGAGTCCACCCTGTACTGACTGTTGGAACCCCTGGGTACCTGGAGTAAGTCGGCCCTGTTCAAGGCGCTGGCTGCCACCTTCAGGAGGACTTCACCCTCTCCTGGGCTCGGCTTGGCCACCTCCTTCAGGTAGAGGTTTTCTGGTCCACCTGGCTGGTCAAAATGCACTGCCAGCATGCTGTCTGAGAACACTGAGCAGGCAGGCAGGCAGAAAACCCAGGCTCGGAAGGGTTCGAATAGGACCCTCCTGTGCAGCACCCACTGCAAGATCCTGGATCCTGTCTCCTAGGACCTTGCAATCCCTACACCAGCTCTTGGTCCTGGAAGACAAGGTTTTAATCACCGTCCAGGCCTAGAAATACTAAAGAGCTGCAACAGATTACACTGTTTCTGGGTTGAAATCCCAGGTCCTGTAGACAGGCCCGTTCAGGCAATGGAGATAACTTAACTGAGCTGGTTCAGCAGGTACTGCTCGTCTTGGCTCCTTGGGTGCTGGTGGCCGCACCCCAGAGCCAAGGGACCGCCCTCAGTTGCTACTGGAAGGACTGCCTGAACTCTGAGCAGTCCAAGGGGTGGGACTGAAGGGAGGCAACCCAACCTCTTGTCCTTTTCACCCTTTAAAATGCAAAGCTACAGAGTGGCAGTTTGGGTATTCTTTTCCTCAGCTTAGGGGACATGGAAGCTGTTCCAGCTCTCATTATAGGAGACCGAACTTCCTCTTTACAGAATGACTTAGGCTCAGCTGCAATCTAAGACCCAGATATGTCCATTTTCCAATCAAGTCAGGCTCTCCTTGGACTGTTTATGCTACAGTTCTGGTACTAGAAAGTTAGACCAAGCAACTACCTTGCCGATTGTGACACAGAATATAGTAGACAAAAATAAAGAGCTCCACTACTTCCCCAGCCCCTGAAGTCTAAGGTTACCTCTCTGAGTGTCAGGGCCTCTGTATCCCGTCACAATGACTCACTCTCAAACCCATTCCCAACTAGTTTGTTTGCATCTAGACATTTTGTTTAGAAGGGTCATATGTGAGATTAAGGGTTTCTTACAATATTTAGAGACCTGCTACATGCCCCTCTTGGTCCTTGTAAAGTACACTGTAGAGGGACCTGAAAAACAGTGTATTCACATAAATAATCATTATCCTTAGGAATAATGGCAATTAAGTCTGGCCAAAGCAGAGTTAAGTTTGTGTTTCCCAGACTTTCTCTTGGCCAAAGATCCAAGCCATTTCCTTCCTAGAAGCAATGCACGAAGTGTGTAATGAAGGGTGCACTGGAGGGTGCACTGAAGGGTCCACTGAAGGGTGCATGGAAGGGTTCATTGGAGGTTGTACTGAAGAGTGTATCAAAGGGCTCACTGACCAGCCTAGCCTTGGACTACTGTCAGGGAAAGGAAGATGCTTCCTTTCCAGGAGTGGCTGTGGCAGAACCCTAAATTATCAAAATAGGTTCTCTCTTATTGTCCTGATCATCATGTAGCAGGTGGCCAACAGAAGAACACTTTCTCATAAAGATAATTCAAGTAGCCATTCTGCCTTACTAAGATGTAGATTCAGAGGCAGTGAGAGAGGTGGTCAGAAATCTCCTGAGTTTTGAGAAGGCCTTCATAATGCTGAACAGGATTGGATGCCTGAAGATAGACAGGAAGTGTCCGTCCAATACTCAGATTAGTGGTCCATTACTGGGTGACCTTTACATTGGCTGCCTTCCCCACAAGTCCCATATGAGTGGTAAGAACAAGGCAACTGTCACAATGCAATGTCATCTATATTTTAATAAAGGGGCACTGAACTCAGGAACTCTACTTCTTTGATGGAAAGCACTTAGTGAGTTTTTAAATTTTCCCCAGAGAGAATTACTTTAATTTTTAAAGATGGCATGACCCTGACATGGCCTAGGTGTAGAGTGGTTAGTGTCACTGGTGAGACGGTTCAGTGGGCTTATTTGCCACCAGCCCATATGACCCGAGTTCCATTCTCACTACCCACATAGTGGAAGAGGATGTCTCCCACAGCTGTCCTCTAACTTCAGTGTGGTTAGGGCCTATATTCTTGGAATATCTGGCAAGATGTATGGGGACTTGGAGCTGAGACTCCCAACAGACCTGTCCTGTGAAAAACCATTAATGCACTCAGGTTTCAAGTTAGTGATCAATGCTTAAAGAAAAGAGCTGGTCAAATCCTTCCAGTTATAAATGATGACTTCTTGAAATAAGAAAAAATCTTCCCTTAGCTCAGTCTTTGTTTTAATGTCCTTCAAGTTATAGATGATGACTTCTTGAAATAAGGAAAAGTCTTCTCTTAGTCTTAATCTTCCACTCTGTTTTCCAATCACAAAATACTTTTTCTTAATGATCTGTATTTTCTTTCAAAATAATAAAGTTGTCTTCTCTAGTTGGCTGATGAATTAATTTCCTTTTTTTCTTAGATACTCTCCTGAAAGAAACACACAGCATGCACGTTAATAATTTAGGAGTAGTGAACTTCCATTACAATGTAGTTCGTTCATTTTTCAATAAGCAGTGTTGGGTGACTACCATGTGCTAGCACTGTACCATATTACAAGGATGATGGGATAGTTAAAACACAATTTTTGTCCTTGTGGAGGTCGTTCTACTAGAAAAGAGAGATGTATGCAATTCTATTTCATAGTGATAGGAATATTTGAGCTTCTCTGAAGAGTGATTAGTTCTCCATGCAGAGACAACGAAGGTACACATAACTGTCAAGGAAAAAATGAGTGGGGGAGGGCTCAGGGAACAGTAGAACCTGCTGCCCAGTCCTTCATTTAAAAAAAAAAAAAGGCAATCTATTAATAAGAGAAATTTGGCCGGGTGTTGGTGGTGCACGCCTTTAATCCCAGCACTTGGGAGGCAGAGGCAAGCGGGTCTCTGTGAGTTTGAGGCCAGCCTGGTCTCCAGAGAGAGTGCCAGGATAGCCTCCAAAGCTACACAGAGAAACCCTGTCTCGAAAAACAAAACAAAAAAAAATTGAAAGCTGTTTCACTAATCAAAAATTCTACTTGTTTTCTTAAACTGACTGCTGGTTATCACTCGGGTTGCCTTCCTCTGCTGCAGTGATTCTAAACTTCCTAATTCTGTGACCCTTTAATACAGTTCCTCATGTTGTGCTGACTTCCAATCATAAAATTAAATTCATTGCTACTTAATGACTATAATCATACTGTAAATATTTGTGTCTTCTCATGGTCTTAGGTGGCCCCTTTGAAGGGTTGTTTTACCTCCAAAGGAGTCTTGACCCACAGTTGAGAACCACTGCTTTACTGCACCTATGACAGATGGAAATGGTAGGAGACCAGGACTGTATGGTCAATAGAAGAGCCTGGACAGTTCAGCTGGTAGAGCATCAGACTTTTAATCTGAGGGTCCAGGGTTCAAGTCCCTGTTCAGCTGACAAGCTTTTGTTGGGCGGTGGTGGCGTATGCCTTTAGTCCCAGCACTTGGGAGGCAGAGGCAGGCAGATCTCTGTGAGTTCAAGACCAGCCCGGTCTACAAGAGCTAGTTCCAGGACAGCCTCCAAAGCCACAGAGAAACCTGTCTCGAAAAACCCAAAAAAAAAAAAAAATTGCTTTGACGATTTCCCTCATGGGAGACCTCACCCTCCCTGAGGAGTGGATGGGGAGTGGGATAAGGGGTTGGTGAAGGGGATAGGAGGATGGGAAGGAGAGGGAACTGGGATTGGTATGTAAAATAAGATAGTTTTTAATTTAAATAAAGATTAATTAAAAATAAGTACATATATTGACAGTTAAATGATGGGACTTGATACACCATGTACATGTTAAATAAAAGAAATCTGATACAGTCAAAAAATTTTGAAACAGGGTCTCACCATGTAACTCTGGCTGGCTTGAAATTAGTTATATAGATTAGTCTGGCCTTGAACTCACGGAGATCTGCCCACTCCTCTTAAGTGCTAGGATTAAATAAATTAAATACCCAGAGGATTAAAACATTTAATCACCATGATTCTTTATTTCTCAAATTTTCTACAATAATCACATAATTTTTTGATAGAGAAAAACACAATTTTGGGCCCTAATAGCACATGCCTGTAATCCCAGAATTTAGTGGGCTAAAGCAGGAAGATTGCAAGTTAAGCCCAGTCTGGGGTACACAGTGAAACCCTGTATCAGAAAGAGAGAGAGAGAGAGAGAGAGAGAGAGAGAGAGAGAGAGAGAGAGAGAAGAGAAGAGAAAAATCCTCAGAGTGATGAAGGAAGCACAATTAAGTCAGTGACAACAGGCAGTTGATGGGTTGCAGTCCAGCCCTTCCCTTCGTCTATGATGACACTTCTATCATAGCTGGCTCCTTCTTACAACAATGAGTTCTAACTGGTATAGTGTCAGTTGTATTATCCTTTGGAGTCTTTTGTAGTCTTGAATAAATGAATGAATGAATGAATGAATGAATGAATAAGTAAATAAATAAATAAATGGTCAGAGAATCTCTATAATGAAGTCGGGAACTCTCTGGTCTTCTCTATGGAATTAGCCTTGGTTCTGAGCCAATAGGATAGAATCTATTTTATTGGAAGCCTAGTGGCCTGTCTGTCTTCCTACTTTTATTATGGATACTTTAATGAGATATATTAGCTCAAATTATAGGTCTCTGTCTGGTTCCAGCTCCTACTCTGCTGAAACTGACCCTCCATTTCTGGAACTTAATTTCTCACATATTCATTTGAGCTGTCCTGGAATGATAGGTGGAAGTCATTCACATCTCTGTTTATCAAACATACAGTAATTTCCTACTCAAAATCAGGTACTGTGCTAGATATGAGCTAGGAGGACTGATTACAACGGTTTTGCCACCTTCCGGGTTCCTAATCCATCTTAACAAAGAGCTCTAATGGGAATAACAATGGCGATGTGCATAAAATATAAAGCACAGTGGAAGAGACATCAATCAGGTGGGACTTGGCCTCTCAGTGATGATGAGGAATGTACTAACCAGATGTGAGGGTGATAGATAGAACAGGAATGCATTTCTGCCAGGTAGGATGGCATCTACAGAGTCACGAGAGGCAGAGGGCATGTATGTCTTACTCGGTTTTGATCTGAGACAGTGCAGGGCACATGAATGATTGGGCATCACAGTTATTTGCTGCAACAATGAATAAATGAATGGCTGCTTTTCTTGCTAGAAGCCCCTACTATTTCAAAGTACTGTTTTAAGCAATTATGAGATTATTAGAGACTCAAAATAGATGTAAAATAAAACACAAAACACAAAAATTTACTATGCCCAACCCTCACTTTAGTTCTCTATTAAACCTTATTTTTATTTTTCCATATTTGTAAACCAGGGAAGGGGCTGCAGTAACACCAAGATGGCTGGTTCTCTACTAGCAGCTTCTCCTCTCTACAGGGCAGGTCCCCAACACTTGTCTGCTTTTTAGCCTACTTCCTCTCTGTTCCCTACTCATCTCTTTTGCATAGCTTACAGACATGGAGGTGGGAATACGGGTAAACCATATGACACAAATCATGGCCTCACCATGCTACTGGGCCAGGGAAGGAAGCAGTTGACTTGCAATGGACCAGAACAAAGAAGAAACAAGACAGACACCCAGTAGTGCTCCCATCCGTGGTACCCACATTTCCCATGGCTCCCCTTTGCTCAGCACTTTGTGTTTATGTGAGCCACCCCTGGATTCTCCAATAAATTCCTCCTTTCTCCCTCAGCTGATTTGAGTAGGGTCTCAAACCTCAGTGGGAAGCAGACTTACCCAACTTCTCTGTGGCTTCCACACAGACACTAGGATACATGCCTGCAGTGTAAGTGGCTACCAGAAGATACAGATGTGTCTTCACAACAATCACACCAGTGTTCTCCTAGATGAAGAAGAAAATAGAACACTCTGCCTTGGGTCTGAACCACAAGGCCAGTAGTTACCCTACACACATTAAAAAAAAAACAAAAAACAAAAAAACAAAAACCTATACCCTGACTTCTTTTATTTGTGCATTTGTATTTTAATCTTCCACTCTTTTGAGAAATTCAGTAGAGTTTTCTGAAAGGCTTCAGCTTTTTACACTAATACTGTGTGTGTTGTGAAGAGAAGTTCCTGGGAAGAAACATACCATACACTGACTGTGGGGAGGTTGGAATGTTGGGGGGGGGGTCCAGCCCTAATAACCATCCCTTGCCTACCTCTGTGTCTGATTTAACATTCTTATGCCTAACGGGGGTATGAACTTTGGAATGTATTTAAACACCCCTACTGACCCAGCTTTATTGTATGTGTCCTTTCTTCATTTCCTCACTGCCCCAGTCAGAGTTTCAGGACCCAAGGCAAGCAGGTCATGGCACTATGAAGGATGAACTGTATCAGGAAGAGGTAGCTCAGATGACAGACTCCAGAGGAAATATTTACAACAGCCAGGATATCTGGATGAGAGTACTTTTGGACAAAAAGTGCTTTTTATTCTTTACTTCATTTCAGCACTGGAGACCAAACCCAGAGCTTTGCACATTCTAGGTAAGTTCTCTACTCCTGAGGTCCATCCCCAGCCCTTCTGAGTATTTTCAGATCTGCCTTCTTGGCACTAGATTGCTCTCTGAACGATGGAAGGCAGTGATGACCTTATGCTGTATTGCAGAGAGCATCAGGAGGGGTAAAGAAAATTGAAGTAAAACTCTTAAGGTTTTTACCTACATGTCTTCAAATCTTGAATACTTACATTCTTAGCATAAAGAGAATAGTCATCTGCCCGGACACATTTGTAATCCTTCTCCCTGAAATAAAGCCCTTCCCTTCGGGTTATCAGTGGGTTTTTGGCAAATCCATTCACAAGTGTTCGAACATCATTTGGCATTACCTACAGAGGTTAAATAAGCCAGGTCAGAAAAGCAAGGCCACTGGCTAGTCATATTTGGTTGACTACCTTTTTAAATGGCCTGAAGGCTAGGAATGGTTTTCACTTTTTAAAAATGACTGGAAAAAGGAACAGCACTTTGTGACATGTCACCATTACATGAAATCAAAGTTCCATTGTTCATAAAGTTGCACTAGAGGATAGCCATACCTATTATTTTAGGTATTATCTATGGCTGCTCTTCCAGCTGCAGAATTACTGATTGTGACAGACTATGTGGTCTAGAATCTTAAAGCACTTCCTTTGGCTTTTTATAAAAAATAAAGGTCTTTTTGTTTAAAAGTCATAGCCCCAGGAAAGGATTTTCTGAAAGGGATTCCAATAGCACAAGAAAGAACCTCAGGAATTGGCAAATGGGACCACCTGAAATTAAAAGTTTATGTACATCGAAGGAAACAATCGCTAAGACAAAATGATAGAACATAAAAAACACAAAACAATCACCAAACTACACAACACAGACTGAAAAACGACTTATTCTTGGGAGTAGAAAGAGTGCTCTATAGTGGGAAGGGGAAGCTGTAGCCACGCCTACTTAGGGGCCGGCTACAGTGTCCCCTACAGTGCTCCCCTATAAATTTATGAGGGTAAACTGAGTCAGTAGAGGCATATGGACATATTAAAATCCTATCAGAAAAACAAGGCCCAAGCAATACCATCTACAACAGACCAATGACTCTCTCACCTGGACTCCAAAAAGAATAAAGAATACACACCTAGTACTGAGATGGCATTGGTTCCTACCAACCTGGACCTACCTCATCCATCTGTCTACCAATCTGGACCCAATCCTGCCCTTTTCCTCCTGGAACTGGTCTCAACTTTGCAGCTTTACTCTCAAACTTTTGATATGAAGGAGCCTAATGAGTACGCAAAGATTCTTCAGATTCTTTCTTGAAGCTCTGGTTTTGTTAATTTAAGAATATCTATTATCAAATATCTACTGACAGTTCTACCAACTTTCCTGCTTTTTGGGACTTAGGAACACTCTTGAATTCTGCTGTGGTCTCTTAATTTGTTGCCATTTTGGAACCAACCAACCATACATACATACCTATAAATGGTTATAAGTATATGTATACACACATATTACTGTGTGATCCAAGAGTTGATATTAGTATAAAGATGGGACTAAAACAACCTGTGTTCATCTCCGTCATGGTTACCAAGGAAAGCAGGCATATCTATCAAGTTGATGGCATAGAAACTGTTGTACCTTGTGAATTTATTATTACTCAATAAATTCTGACATTGTTGAAGCATGTTCATATTTTTTACATAGTTCACTCACAACACATTATATGAAGAGGACATGATAGAAACCAAAATTTTGTATGTTAACCTAAAAAGTTACTTTTTTTCCTCTTACACTAAATCCGGGTGATGCCACACATAGGCTCCTTTCATGGAGTTTGATGAGGGCTGCACCGTCCACATGCTTCGTCCCCAGTAGGGTATCTAACAGTAAGTTCTGCAGGTGACTCATGCTGATTCCTCAGCTCTGAACCAGGAACTGTAGCTGGTCTTCACACGTAAGCATACAAGTGCCTCTGATACTTCAGTTTTAGTATCAGCGTGTGTCCTTTAAAACATCGGAAGAGTGAAAATAGTGGTCTACCATCCATCCACTGTTCACCAATACCCAAGGGCGGGGGGGAGGGGGGACTATAGGAAAATCAGAGTTCACAGACTTGACTTATTAAGCAGAGTTTGAAAAAAAAAATCAGAGCCTCAACAATTTTAGCTATGTAATGACTTACATGAGAATTACCTGGGACTTAAAAACACAAGTCCATGCTTATCATCTCAAGTACTCTAGGGGCAGGAAGGTCACAAGTTCAAGGTCAGAGAGAGAGTCTGTCTTTAAAATTTTTTTTTTTAAAAAGCTATGCGGATGAATCT